ATATTTATCTTTATAATAATAAAAAATAATAATATTTATTAAAATTCATAAAAAAAATAAAATTATTTCTCAATTGATATATTTATGCTTAATGTAGTTATATTTATAAGTTAAAAAAGTTATTATAATATAACACAGGTAAGTCGCACAAATAAAAAATGTCATACTAAATATATAACAATATATATATTTTTATAAAAGGTATTTAAATTTTCAATTACTTTTTCTTATTATTTTAGATTTTAAGAAAAAAAATTAGCAAGCACCCGTGTAATACACGGGCGTTGTACTAGTTATCAGTATAATTATATAATATCAATCAGTGATTATTACACATCACGCAAATTTTAATTCACTATATATCCACTTACATAATTTTAGTTAATCACTTTAAATCATCTATCTCCTACTTTTACGTCATATCAACTTTAATTATTTTATTTTAAATATTATTTTAATATAAATTCAAAATCTCACTAACAACTAATCATACAAACTTTTTTCAAAATTAACCACGGTCGACCAAAAAAACATGTTTTGAGCTGATATATTTGTACACAAGAATGCCTTTTAGCCGTTAGATCATATATATGCGCACACACCTATATAAGTACATGTTGATATGATGGTGTAATTTGACGGCAAGACTTTTGAGAAGGTAATGCCCACGGGACGTGATAGAACTGATGGAACTCATTTATGAGGCAAGGGGCTCAAAAATTTGAACCCGAATAAAGCTTAAGAGCAAAGAGATACAGAGGAGAAAAATTATGGGAATTACTAATCGTCGCCCCTCTTATTACTAGTCACCGCCCTCCTTAGACGATTTTGCCCCTGCCATTTTTTCTTTCGCTCAAGATGTCAAGCGATTCGGAGGTAAATTTTTTTTTTTTTGTTGTTTCGACCGGCCGTCGCAACCGGACGACCGAAATGGCATCCGGTTTGACCGGCCGGTCCGGTGGCATAACGGGCGGTTTTTTGGTCCGCACGTACCGGTCCTTGTCCGGACGGACCGGCCGTACGGACCAGGTGGCGTCCGGCGGCGACGGCCGGTCGGTACACGGTCTGTCCGGTCCGACCGGCCGGACACCTATTTATTTTATTTTTTTTTTCGAAAATTTAT